GAAGATGTCAGGGTGCTTTATTCATTGAGGCAGTGATCAGAGCAGTCTTTGAGGAAGCAGGAGGCCTGTGCTCTGTAGATTTTCACATAGCCTTGGAGGAGAACCTGTGGGCTAGAAAGAGGATGAATTGTGCTATAGAAAGGATTACTTTGTCTTTTTAAGGGATTAGATGAAAAGAATACAAGCAGGATCACATCTCTGCAGCCTTGCAATTAAGGCAGTCATCTTCAGGGAGGGAGTCTGGGTTTCCAGTCATTGTATTTGTAAGAGAAGTAACTCTTGTGGGCGCTGGCCAGAGCCAGCAATCTGTCTCCCAAGGAGAGCTCTTCCTCTGAGGCTGAAGCATCATGCTGTCTCTGGTGTTAGCAGAATGCGCTGTTTCCTGTGCACCTTTCTGAGAATACCCCAAAGTTAGGTGGTTTGAGAATATTTATGGGAAATGAGAAGAGTGGTTCTGATTACCTACGTGACGGATGGCAAGGTCTGCCAGATCCCGACTTATGGTGCACCAGTGAACTCTCATAAAAACGAAGTCTGGGTCTTTCTGAAGAAAGACTTTAGGCACAGCAGTTGTCCAGTGGCATGGTAGCTGAGTGATGAACACTTTGTAATTGTGTTTTGATTCACTCTAAGCTATGTTAATGCTCATGAGCTCTGCAGGGGTTTGATTTGGGATTAGAAATAATTTGTCCATGAAAAGGACAGTTTATTTGAATCTAGTGAGACACAGATAACAATATTGCCCATGTTTTGCTTATTTGTTTAATCTGCTTTTGTTACAAAGCCCAGGTGCTTTGGTGAACCCCATAGCAGTGCTCCCATTAAATTGGGATCATGGTTCTCCTCCATATCCAGGTCAGGTTTTGGTTCCTCTGGGTGACATTCTGCATCTGCTTTAGAGTAGACCCATACTCATATCGTCACCTCTATCCCTTTGCAATTTTGTCTTCCATCACATTAACTTTTACTTCTCTCTTTACAGCACTCCCTTCTCTAAATATCCCAAAAAGCCTACTAATACTAATTACTTGCAAATAGTAATTGTAATTTTAAAAGCAACCTCAGTAAATAGCTTTTTATGTACTGTAAGAAAATTGAAAGCTATGTCTATTCTGCTGTTTAATATGAATGCTGTAGAACAAGTAATAGTCTTCCATCTTACCATGTAACGGGGACATGAATAAGCTCCTAGTATCCTCTGAGAATCCCTTTGTGTGCAGTGTACCATGGGGTTGAGGAGAGAGCCAAAGGCTTAGTAGGTGCAGAACTGAAATAGAAATGGAAATGCAGGAGAGATGAAAGATCTTGAAAGAGAGCAAATCATAAGGAAGATCAGACAGGGCAGAGGAAGCCCTCTTTAAAAGTTTAGGAACATCTCTGGTTAAAAGCATTTGGCTTCTTTCTGTTGTTTTATACAGGTCTGCATGAGGGCTTGAGTTCAGAACTGCTGCAGTCATAGAAATGATGCGCCAGGGTAGGAAGTTTCAGGGGGCAAGAAATGTTGAAGTGGTTGCAGCTTGTACTATAATGCAGGGCCCATCATTAAAATATATCAGAAAACATCTCACCTTGTGTGTGAATTTTCAAGGCACAGTTGGCTGGGAAATGGTGGTCCACATGGGTGTAAGTTAGGATTTCTCAGCCCCTTGTTGCTGCCCCAGAGCTTCTGCGCTCATTATACAGCAAGCTCTCACACAGGAGGACTGTTTGGGCATCCTTACTCGTTGTTTGTGGGCGGCTGCTTTCCCACCCAAGCTCCTGGCTCTGGCTGTTGTGCTGTGACTCCTGCTTGCACTGCAGCAGGCTGGTGCCCTGAGCTGCTATTGCTAATGGCTCTGGTGATTTCTGGGATGAGCATTGCTGGCTGCGTGTGCAGACCAGTGCCTCACGCACACCCACGTGGCATCACTTACAAGGCTGGAAGTGGCTTACCTGAGAGTCTGCAGAGATTTGGCAGGAGCTGAGAGCTGCGTGATTTGGCACAGATTTCCACAAAGGCAAAGCTGACCTGGGAGGGAGAAAACTGTGGGTGGGGAAATGCAGCAGGCAGGAAGCTTCGCTTGTCCCAGGTTGTGGTCTGACTGCCTTCCATCCTTACCCGAATGCCCCAGGAGAGGAGGAACTGAAAAAAAGATCTTACATGGAATTTTCCCGAGGGACACTGGCAGGAAAAGAAGCTCTGGATTAGATCCATTAGCTCCTAACTTAGTCAGAACCTAGTGAGAGCCAAACTTCTGCCTGTCTTAATAATTTAAGCTTTTCAGAACAGAAGCTGGGTGAAATTTTGACTTTATATATTACTGCTGTGTAAGTAATCCTCAGCAACATTCTCAATCCTTTTAACTGTTTGTAGTTACCGCAGGATTTAAGAATAATCACACTGTACTTCTTGAATAAAAATAAAGCAGAAAAATGTGTTCTGGATGGTAAGTTGTGTTAAAACATGATTTAAAAGCTTGGGAGAAGCTGGCACTAATGAGAAGTTTAGACAGTCTCATTTAATTCAAGTGCAGTTGGTGTAGATTTCTTATGTGCTTTGCATTAGTCTTGGTTTTAAAAGATAGAAATAAACTGTATAATGTGATGATAAATACACCACAAACAATAGCTGGAGACATATGGATCAAAATAGAGGAAGCAAGTGGCAAGTTATAGCCAAGGGTAGTTAAAAACAAACAAAAAACAGAGAACATGATCAATGCTCAGAGTTCACACGGGAATGCAATTCTTGGGTATAAGTTATATGAAAGATATGACTGAGCACTGCTGTTCTGTCTGAACACTTTGCCAGTAATTCAGCTTTCCTGCAAGGTAACATTCGCTGCTGTTGGTGCTTTCAGTGAATTTGGCTTATGCTCTATTTTTCTGAATGCTTCATTAACCTGTCCTTTCTGATTTCTGAGGTATTCATATTCACAGCACTTTTAAATTTTGTAGCAGCATTTGCTACTTAATTCAACCTTTATTGGGAAATGTGTATATGATTATTAGTAATAAGTGCTTTATTACATCTTGGTTTTTTTTTTTCTTTTTTTGTAAATAATGCTGTATAGTGTATCACACGGTAAGTTGATGTCTGTTTGCATTGATATGCACCATCTAGAGCTCTTCCACAGAATCTGATTTTAAAGAGTGGAATTCAGCGGTTTGACTCCCAGGCACAAACAACCATGTAATTACTCTGCAATCACACAGTAATTAGCGTGTACTATTCATATATTGCATAATTATATGCCCTGCAGATTACATAGTAATTATATTTGTACCAAACATATAATTCTATATACTGTATCGCAGGAAAGAAACTTGGAGAGTTCATGGTTAATATTATAGTTATAAGTTAATAGAATGCAATTATATAAAAAATCTTACAATCTTATCGGAGGGTTGTATTTGGACATCCCATCTCTTCTGCATCTGGTTTGACTTAAACTGGTAGACACTACTATAAGGAATTCTTGGCTGTTAATTTATAGTCAAATGTAGTATGTTTATAATGTAACGTGTGGAGATAAGCAGAAACGCACAGCTGCTTGTGCAGGAAGCTGGGTGTGGGAAGGATTGGTGAGAATATTAAATACTTAAATGACAAATGTATGAACACACTGAATGTAGTTAGAACGTGTTGTTAGAGTGAAAAACAAATGTTATGGATTTTCCTTAAGTGTTGGGTTGTTTCTGGCTGGCTGAGATGCATGGGATGGTAGCAGGTAATTTATACACATAGTGGCACCCATGGCCATAATCTCAGGCACCACTGGTTCAAGGGAATGCAGCAGCTCTGTGCACTGTGGGACAGCAGCTTAGCTGAGGAAAGAGGAGAAATTGGTGTCCTGGTCTGAGAATGAGGCAGAACGGTGAGAGAATGGAGAGGAATGGCATTGAGTTGTACCTTTGGCCATTCCTCCTAAAAGATTGATGCAATGTTTTTGATATTTTGTTCAGCTTGCAAATTCTGTAGCAGGGGAAAATTGATGCATCTTCTTGGTTCTGTGGCATTGGCATTCCCATTATCCAAAGCAACATTATGATTATTCTTAATTGAATTTTGCGCTCTAATGCCAGTTGCCTTCGTTTTCAAGCTAAGCATATGTTGGATTTTAATATGTGGATAATGTATTGCAAAATTAAATGTGTAATTATAATCTTTTATCTGAGTTTAATTTATTTTTCTCTAACTTATATTGTGTGCATGTGCATGCATGTGTACAAGGGAAAGTGAATCCTGGTATTAAAATGTTTCTTTCACTGTGACTTGTTAATTCTGTGTCAGATTTAAAACTCACAGCTTCATAAAACTCAGTGTTCAGGTGGCACCTACAGATCTCATGAAAGGCTCTTGGTCAGAGCCCAGAGGTCACAGGCTTGGTGGGTTGCCTCGGAGCCGCTGGAATAGTGAGGCTCCACTGCTTGCCTTGTGCTTGTGCTGCTGTCTGTGTTGGCTACTTTTATACCTCAGAAACTGTGGTAGCAGGCATGTGGCTTTTACATTCTGCAGAGTACATAAATTACATTTAAATGTTGTTTCTTGATGTAGACACAGAATATCAGTTATACTGTTGAAGGAAAAAAAGTAAGAGAGTAACTTTTTTCCAAGCCCAGGCTTAAGAGTCCTGCTGAGTTCTTGTGCAATGGGCCACATGTATCTCTCCCAGTTTACCAGTATAATTGCATTTAAGTGAGGACAAGTCTTACCCAATTTCCATCCTGCATGTCAGCTGCAAAGAAGATGAAGTGCAGCCTCCTGGTGTAGTCGATCTCTAGCTAAGCCATCATCATTTAATGGTTGGACTAGATGAACCTAGTGTCTTTTCCAATTTCAGCGATTCTATGATTCTGCCCTTAGAAACATAAGCAATGGTCACAGGTTCTGGCACTGCACGTTTTGCATGTATCAAATATATAATCAGGATCTCGTTAACACAATGAAATAAACACAAGCGTCAAAACACGATATGAATGTGACACGTTTCTTACTGCTGTTGTGTTGTTTTTTCTAGTGGAGCCAGTACTTTCAAAGGGGAACAACTGCTTGGATGCAGCAAAAGCTTGTAACCTAAATGATACCTGCAAGAGGTTCAGATCTGCTTACATAACCCCCTGCACCAGCAGCACGTCTAATGAAATCTGTAACAAGCGGAAGTGTCATAAGGCCCTCCGGCTATTTTTTGACAAAGTTCCCCCAAAGCACAGCTACGGGATGCTCTTCTGCTCCTGTCGAGACGTAGCCTGTACAGAAAGGAGGCGGCAGACTATTGTTCCTGTGTGTTCATATGAGGACAGGGAGAAACCAAACTGCCTGAATTTACAAGAATCCTGCAAGAAGAATTACATCTGCAGGTAAGATAGCACATGGCAGGGGAGTGATTAATGAGGTGCCAGAGAGAACTTTTTGGTACTGCTGGATTTGCCAGGAGTAAGGGTTAGAATGTCCACTAGGCAATAGGAGTTGGGGAAAGCAGCAAAAGTCTCTGACATCCTTAACAGAGTAACAAAAGCCTGCATCTGGTTACCGTGTGTGCCTTCTTCAAGCTGCTCACAGCTATTCCCTCTCGTTATGGAAGAATCGTTAAATGCTTGGTTTAATTTTCACAGATTTCTGTTGGAAACATTTTAATTAATTAGGTGTCTCTATGAAATGATATCTCAAAGTTATTTTTATGTCCCATTAGCAGCCAGGTGGAAATAGAATTATTCATTATAATGGGATTTATTGTCATTGTTACCTAGCCTGTAAGCTTGAATAACAGTGGATGCAAGCCACATGGTGGACTTTGTGTGTGGTCGGAATACACAGTTTCCATGCAGGCTTTTGCTTCATAGGAAGAAAAGGGGATTGCATCCCACTGTCTTTTCATTGCTATTTTAGGCTTGGAATTGTTTTCTCTGCCCTCTTCTGGCAAAAAGGCTGGGCTGATGTAACTGGAGGGTCATTGATTTAGTGACCCGATCCCCAGTCTCTTCCCTTGGTGAGCTCAGCACAGAGTGTTGCTTTGCACGACAAACTGGCTCCTTCCGCTGTCAGCAACTTCTCTACAGGTTATTGCATGGTGCTTGCTCAGTGGCGTACAGATCCTCCTCTGCCCTTAGGAAATGCTTTACTCCTGCTTAGCATTGTGTATGTTTATGTAAGAATGCTGTTCCAATGCTGTGTTTATGAAGTCATGCCCAAGAATCTTAGTCGTTTCTAATGTGTGTATTCTTTGTACGTAGTTCACCAAAGCCTTCAAATTAGCAAGTGAGGAAATAAACACTATTGTTAAATGTCAAGGACACCAAAGATATGTGCATATATGCCTTAAATAAGTACTTTCATGTGTCTGATAAAATATTTACTTTGTTGTTTACGTATGAGCCCTCCTCCAGTGATCCTAAACCCGTGACCTGAGCACCACATGTGCCTGAGGTTCTGGCAGGGGAGGAGCAACAGAGCTCTGCTCTGCCCTATGGCTCAGGGATGGCAGGTGCCACTGCTGTGCTGACAGACTGGAGTAGCTTTATGTTGGGGCAGGATTTTCACTGCAGCCCAGTGAGGCACATTCAACACCTTGATGGCTATTGCAGTTTGTGAGAGCTGGATGCTGGTTCTGGAGTCAGAACCACTTGTTTTCCGTTTCCATGTTGTGTCGTCAGTCTTTTTGTTTGCATAAATTGTTAGACCTAGATTGTCTTACTTAACACAGGCCCTGTTAAATAGCAGAGTTACAGCATCTTTGCTGTGCTTCCTGCCAAAATTCCAGTGTTATGGTACTAATGAGATGGGGAGAGGGCTTTATTGGGACACTTTTTCCTGTTTTTCAGGCTGTGCTCAGAAATTGCTTGGTTAAATGAATGCCATTACTTCTCTTATGACTGCGTTTTTCTTTGGTCAGCTTTAATCTAATGTTTTATCAGCAGCAAAGTTTTTAATAGCATTTTGTTTAATCTGACTTCATGGGCCTGGTGTCGTGCTTTCTCCATTTCAGCTGCAGAAAAAACCTTGGTAAAATGTCTGTTCCTGTTGCCCAGAGTTGCAGCCGTTGCTGGGCTGGAAATGGATTTCTTTAGATTTTCTTCCTGTTGATGCTTTTCTTTAAACTGCCAAATTAAAATGTTTGGACTCATGGGCGGGCAAACTTTGTGGGTCTGGGGCAGGGTCAGCAAAAAACACCACTTGATCCTGCACCTGGGGTGCAGCAAATGTTACAGGATGCTGACAGTCATCCCCTATTAATGCCTCGTGGGCTGTTTGAACTGCTAGCAAGGTTAGTTCCTTTCCTCTCTCCTGTCCAGGAAAGGGGAAATCAGCAGTAGAGTTATTCCATTTCATCCAAAACACAGTGAAAGGCATTTTCTTTGAATTGTTGTGCACTTAGAAGGAGGTGGTATGGTTTGTTGCCAGTGATTTACAGGAAAACAGCGGCTTGGGCAGGAGAGGAAAGAAAGGGAAGTAGAGATGACATCCCTGCCTTGCTATTGAAAGTTTTGGCATTGATAAATATCAGTCTGCATAGTAATTCCAGACATGTTTAGAATAATTAAAAGCAGTAGTCACAAGACATATAATTCTACCTCCGTTAACTTCTTGTTCATTTTGAAATCAGTATCTAACTACTGTGAAATCAAGTCATTTAGAAACTTATTTGTGTGCCTGTTACATGTACTGGAGCTTCTTCATAATGCCAAGTAAGACAAGGGCAAATATGTATTTCAACATTCAGTTTGGGATGCTTTTCAGAGCTTTGTTTTGGATGCACAGAATCACAGGATCACAGGGGTTGGAATGGACCTTGGGGATCATCCAATCCAACATGCTAAAGCATCGTTCCCTAGAGCAGGTTACAAAGGAAAGCATCCAGGTCGATATTGAATATCTTCAGAAAAGGAGACTCCACAACTGCTCTGTGCAGCCTGTTCCAGTGCTATCACCCTCAAAGTAAAGAATTTTTTCCTCATGTTCATATGGAACGTCCTGTGTCCCAGTGTGTCCCTGCTGCATCTTGTCCTGCTGCTGGGCACTCACTGAAAAAGCCTGGCCACTCCACTTCACTTCCACCCTTCAGTTATTGATAAGCATTGATAAGATCCTCTCTCAGTCTTCTCCGGGCTGAACAACCCCAGGTCTCCCAGCCTTTCCTCATAGGGAGATGCTTCAGGCCCTTTGTCATCTTTGTGGCACTGCACTGGATTCTCTCTAGAAGTTCTCTGTCTTTCTTGAACTGAGGAGCCCAGAACTGCACACCGTAAATATCACTGAATCATAATGTCACTGGATCATAATCTCATCGAATCTGCTTTTGAAACAGAATTAAAATGAGTGAAGCAATTCAGCCAAACTGTGGCTACCACTCAGACATGTTTATTCTTTTGTTTTCTCTTCTATTCATTCATCTTCTGTTATATAATGTGAACTCTTAATCGAGGGGAAAAAAAGGGACCGGAAAAGTCAGGAAATGCAAATAAGTTCTGACTTACATAAATAGTTCTAATTTTTCAACTTCATCAAAATACTGAATGGTTCATTTTCATTATCATTCTTATGCTTGCTTCTCCTCATTTCCAAGTCCATATCCCACTCTAAAGTGGATTTGAGGCTTTCAGGCGCACCTTTCATGTATACCTGTCAATTCTAACTGAAAAGAAAGAAAAAACAACTGAAAGAAAAAACCAGAAAGAAGCCATTAGAATTCATTTTATTATGAATATAAACAAAACTTGTAAGGAAAGTCATTTAACTGTCAAAAACTTTCCCCAGTTGTCCTGGAAAAGCTCAAACCCCTGAGAAACTTCCTATTTCGAGTGCTTCAGCCACCAGTTAAATTCCATAAGGTTGACTGGCATGTTTTAGAAATATCATTCTGTTGTGAAAACAGAACAGCGTGTTTCATTTTTGCCAGTATCACTTTGACAATATTTTAAAATTCTAATTCCTTTGTGCTACAGAAATGTGAGTCATTAGTTTGGCTTTTGTTTTTTTAGTAATCAGTGTTTTGAATTTGCATACGTCCTCTATCTTCTGGATAAGTTCATCAGGAACTGAGCAGAATGATAACAATACAGACATGACTTACTGAAAAACAGAAAATTAGAAGAGTATCAATTCAGTCACTTGCTGTAAAGATCTGAAAGGAAAGGTATTTATTTTCTTTGTAGACTTTTTAGAATGTTTTTTTTTTTCCCCCTCTTAATTAAGATCTAATTGTAGAAAGTAAGGTTCTTGTCCTTCAGCACTGCTGTACTCAAAATGGTGGTGAAACAGTCAAAAAGTTGTTCTTGACCAATTTCCAAATAAAACTACAATAAAATTATTTTTGACACTCAGTGTACACAGGGCCAAATTTTTATATGTGCTTTCATTACCATTCATTGGCATGTGCTCACCCCTGGTACAATCATTTGGGGGTACTGCTGTCAGCTGTTTCTGGTCACCTTTCCTGTTCAGTCTTTGGTGCAAGAACCATTCAGTTCTGCTTGGAAGATGTCTGCGTGTGCAGGTAGAAGAACCTTGTGTGTAGATCCACAGACATTTTTATCAGTGCACAAAATAGGTCGTTCATCGTAAAAGCCAGAATAAAAGCTCAATTTACCGTGTTTCTTAAAAACATACAAAACTTGCCAACAAAATCATTTACCTTCTTTGCATTCTGTTGACATTTTTAATGATAATTTGCTATGAAAAAGGAGCGTATATATCTCTGCTCATTTTCCATAAGGCATGTGCAAATCAGTGAGTGCTTCATGCTAGTACCTGTTTGTGGCTTCTCTGCAAGTGAACGGTGGGTGTTTCTGTAGCTGGTTACACTCTGCAAACCTTTATGGGTAAAGAGAGGGGTTGGTCAAACACTGTAGGGAAGTTTATGAAGAGGTATGTCCTGCTGTAGAAGAGAGGAACCCAGACTCTCATGTCAGTAGGGAATTGTCTCCAGTTGCATTGTTAACAGGTGGCAGGGAACAGGGCACTCAAGGGATGTGTGGAAGAGAGAAGAGAGGTGGAACAGAAATAGGCTCTTTTCTTCAAATTTTCTTTTTCTCAGACTTCGCTTTCATTTTTCCTGCTTCCTCTCTTTCTTTACTGTCATGCTTCTTCCCATTGCTTAGCCTCCTTTCATCTCCTTTTCTCAGGTCTCTCATCATTATCTGACTTTTGCTGCCTCTCTGCCACGTTTGAACCCTCTCCATTACAGCTGCTTACAGTTCCTCCTCACATCTCTTCTGTGTGCTGCTCTTTTCCTCCCTCAATATCCTGCCTCAGTCCAGCGATCATCTGTGATTCAGAAAATGGAAGGGAAACATTGATGCTCCTTCCCACTTGAGCCCTGTGGCTTCTGCTGGTCACAAGGCAGTTGGCCAGCAGCTGGGCT